AGCTTGTAGTACCATTTGTTGAAAAAGCTATTCCTTTTCTATTACGTTATATTGTCACCTTTGTTGGTACCTTTGTGGAAAATAAATTGACAATATTGTATTGCACGAATTTTTTTCTGAACTCTTCTTTTCCATTGACATGTATGTTTATCCTTATGCTAATACCACACTATTTTGATAACTGAAGTTTTATGGTAAAAACTTGAAATGAAGGACTGTAAGTCCTACAATTTTGTTCTATTTCAAAATTGTTTGACCTAGTTTAGTTCTTTTACATTTCAATACACATTTTGAAATCAGCTTGTTAATTTCTACAGAAAAACTTCTGAGATTTTGATTAGGATTGTGCTGAATCTGTAAGTTACTTTGGGAAGTGACAGCTTAACAATATTGAGTCTTCCAAACCAACATATGGCATGTTTCTGTACCTATTTAGATTTTCTTTAGGTTTTCACTGCAATGTTTTGTGTTTTCATACAACTAGGTCTTGTATATATTTTGTAAATATAATACCATTTCATGGTTTTGGATGTCTTGTATTATAAATCATTAGCATTTAAAAAATTCCATTTGCTTGCTAATACAAACAGTTGATTTTGTATATTGAACTTAAATCCTGTGACCTTTCTAACCTCATTATGTATCATTTTTGGTAGATTTCTTAGCGATTTTTTGCACAGATGATCATGTTATCTGTTAATAGGGACAGTTTTATTTCTTCCTGTTCCATCTCAATGTCTCTTATTTCTTTTCTTTTCTTTTTTTCTGTCTTACTTAATTGATCAGGACCTCTAGTGAAATATTGAAGTAGTGAGAATGGGCTTCCTTGCCTTTTACACTATTTTAAAGAGAAAGTGCTGAGTCTTCCACTATTAAGTATGATGTTGGTTGTAGGTTTTTCATGGATGCCCTTTGTAAGGTTGAAAGAGTTCCCTTTGACTCCTAGTTTTCTGAGATGTTTTTGTTTTTGTTTTTTTTTTTGAGTTAGAGTCTCACTCTTGTTGTCCAGGCTAGAGTGCAGTGGCACACTCACGGCCACAGCAACCTGCTGGGCTTAGGCATTCCTTCCGCCTCAGCCTTCCAAGAAGCTGAAACTACAGATGCTCGGCACCACGCCCAGCTAGTTTTTGTGATTTATTGTAGAGACAAGGCCTCACCAACTTGCCCAGGCTGGTCTCGAACCCCAGGGCTCCGGCAGTCCTCTCACCTTGGCTTTCCAAAGTGCTGAGATTACAGGCTGAGCCACCTCACCCAGCCTGAGAGTTTTTATTGTTGACTTTTGTCAGATGCTTTTTTTGCATTTCTTCACAATCACATGGTGTTTCTTATTTTTTTATTAATATAGTAGAGTGAGCCGGGCTCGGTGGCTCAGCCAGTAATCCCGCGCCTTTGTGAGGCTGAGGTGAGTGGATTGTCTGAGCCCACGGGTTCGAGACCCGCCTGGGCAGCGAGAGCTCATCTCTACAATAAATCAAAAAAATCAGCCAGATGTGGTAGCACATGCCTGTAATTCCGGCTACTCGGAAGGCTGAGGCGGAAGGATCGCCCGAGCCCTGCAATTCGAGGCTGCGGTGGCCGGGAGTGGCCACTGCACTCCGGTCTGGGCAACAGAGTGAGACTCTGATTCAAAAATAAATAAATAAATAAAATTTAAAAAAAAATTAAAAAGGCCGGGCTCGGTGGCTCAGCCTGTAATCCCGCGCTTTGGGAGACCGAGGTGAGTGGGTTACCTGAGCCCGCAGGTTTGAGACCCGCCTGGGCAGTGAGACCTCATCTCTACAATAAATCAAAAATCAGCCGGGTGTGGTATCGCATGCCTGTAATTCTGGCCACTCAGAAGGCTGAGACGGAAGGATGGCAGGTCGAGGCTGCGGTGGCCGGGAGCGGCCACTGCACTCCAGTCCGGGCGACAGAGTGAGACTCCAACTCAAAAAAATAAAAAAATATATATAGTAGGGTGTATTGATTGATTTTCAAATGTTAGGTCAACGTTGTTTTCTGAAGATAACTCCCACTTAATCGTGATGTATTATCCTTTTTATAGAGAGTTGCTAAATTGTTAAAGAATGTGGGGTCTATAATCATAAGAGGTATTAACCTGTAAGTTTTGTTTTTGTTTCCTTTTTTTTGCGTTGGAGTCGCACTCTGTCGCCCAGACTGGAGTGCAGTGGCCGCTCTCGGCCACCGCAGCCTCGACCCGCTGGGCTCCGGCGATCCTTCCGCCTCCGCCTTCCGAGTAGCCGGAATTACAGGTGTGCGCTACCACGCCCGGCTAGTTTTTGATTTATTATAGAGATGAGGTCTCACCAACTTGCCCAGGCGGGTCTTGAACCCGCGGGCTCAGGCAGTCCTCTCGCCTCGGCCTCCCAAAATGCTGGGATTACAGGCTGAGCCACTGAGCCCGGCCTTTGTCTCCTTTTTAATGTCATTGTCTGGTTTTGTTATGAGGGTAATGCTGGCCTTATAAAATAAATTGGGAATTGTTTTTGTCCTCTAATTTTTGAAATAGTTTGTGTGGAATTATTATTATCTGTACTCTAAATATCTGATAGAATTTACCAGTGGAGCCATCTGCCTGGAGTTTCCTTTGGGGGATGTTTTAAATAGCAAATATAATTTCTTAAATAGATGCAAGACTACTTTTTATTGCTGTTGTACTTTGTGTTCCTTTCTAGGAATTTGTCTATTTCATATAAGTTGTTGGATTATTGGCATAAAGTTGTTCATAATATATGCTTTTATCATATGTAGGATGTGTACTGATGTCCTCACTTTGATTCCAGACTTGGTAATTTGTTTTTTTCTTTCTTCATCTGTCTACCTAAGGGTTTATCCATTTTATTGGTATTCTTAAAGAACTGATAGTGTTTTTATTGCTTTTTCTCTGTTGTGTTTTCTGCCTCATTGATTTCCACTTTATATTTTTTTGCTTCTGTCTTCTTTGGGTCTAATTTATGATTTTTTCTGGTTTAAGATTGTAGCTTATATCATTGTGGGATGGGGTTATAGATAATGCAAGACTGGCCACAAGCTGGTAATTGTTAAAAGTGAGTGATGGATACGTGGAGTTTTATTTCATTATACTGTAATTTAAATCTATGTCCATATTTGAAATTTTACACAATCCCCAACTCCTTAGTAATCTTTTTCACACTTACATGCTATTGGCATTGATTTTTACCTGGCAGGTTTTGTTTGTTTGTTTGTCTGTCTAGAGAAAGGGTCTCCCTCTGTCACCCAGGCTGGGATGCATTGCTGTGGTAATCCAACTCAAAAACAAAATAAAACAACAAAAAAAACTAGCTTACCACACACTTGGCCTCCTGGGCTCAAGCGATCCTACTTCTGCCTCCCAAGTAGTTGGTACTACAAATGTGTACCACCACATCTGGCTAATTTTTAAATTTTTTTGTAGAGGCAGGGTCTTATGTTGCTCAGGCTGAACTTAAACTTCTAGTCTCACATGATCCTCCTGCATCAGACTCTCAGAATGCTGGGATTACACGGCATGAGACACCATGCTAGGCCTTACCTGGTAGTTTCTATTTTATAGATTAAGCTACTTTTAGAATAGTACCACCAAATTCCGAATAATTAGGACTATATGTGTGCCTTTTAGAGGTTCTATCATATTGGGCAGAAGTGCAACAGTGATATAAATCTTGATGCTCCGAGCTCTGAAAGAAATTGGGATACCTCACAAACAATGAATGGGAAAAATGAGCCATAAGTCATTGTTTTTTGAAAAGCAAATTGATATATGTTTAATAACATGATATAAACAATTACTGATTCCTTGATAACTGCCACTGACATAGTTTGTTAATAAAACTATCTGAAATAAAAACAATAAAATGTTAACACTCAGTATAGTTAATGGGTAACAGGTATTTTTATTGTGTTGTATACAAGTTTCTTGTCATCTGCACCTTCTTTTACCCCCAGAATACAATTTATATTACACTACTTTTTACGTATAATGACCTTACTGTACATACATATAGGTGTTAGAGAAAAATGCATACACAAATACTCTACATACCTTCTTTAGGATTGTACATGTAATAGCTTCTTCCATGTATCTTTTTTCATGTTTTGTATTGTTTTCTTGTGGCTCCCCGCCCCCAGCTTCCTGGAGCTTTTTATTAGTGAACCACACTTCAAGGCACATTGATAGGTTTTCTTTTTTTTCAAGAATAACATTTATCTTTAATCACATACGTAAGTGACCCCATTTCTATTGACTCCTTTGGTGTCAATAGATTCGTCTACCAACTGCTAGCTTATCCGTGTTTCTTATTCCCACTCAACTATGCATACCTACATGTCAAAATAATGATAAATTTTATGGTGCTTTGGCTTTTAAATTAGTTGGGAAGAGTGAAGTTATTTTGTTTTGCTTCACTTTAAAAATAAACTTTCATCCACAAAGAGTTTTTATTTGCTGCAATAGAATAACAGTGTTACATGTTGGGATAAGAAATAAATTTGTATGTAAGATAAAATAGGGAGTAGCTACCAAAGTCAAATATGCCTTCCAAATACTAATGGAAAGAAAGAATATATCTTTGTCAGGAATTAATCTCACCTCTGGTACTTATTAAACTGTAACCCTAGTTTGTATACAAATTATACATTGTCTTTGTGCTTCATTCTTCTCATCCATAAGATGGAAATAGTTAATAGCATCACAGGTTGTTATGAGTTTTAAATAAGTTAGTATGTTAGACATATTTATGTTAGCTATTATTAACCCTTTCTGAGCCTTAGTGTATACATTCTTTTCATAAAAATTATTAACTGTAGATGTGAACTTCCATGCCTTTTCTGTTAGCATAATGGTAGAGTCCATATTTTGTCTTACAGGTCTACCACAATGTGCTGTACATTGCATATACCTGATAAATACTTGACTTATTTGAAAAAAATTTTTTTGACTTCTTTGGGAAATTGTCTTTCAATAGATAAACTGAGTAGCTATTTTAAACATATGTCACTAAGTATTCACTTCCTGTTTTTTGTTTGTTTGTTTTTTGGTGTGGTGGCGATGGAAATAGTGCCTCAGTGTGTCTGGAGAATAAATGTGGATGTCCCTGAGGAAGCTAATCAGAATCTTTCATTTGGTGCTACCGAAAGATGGTGGGAGCAGACAGATCTGACCAAACTAATTATTTCAAACAATAAACTTCAGTCACTTACAGATGACCTCCGACTCCTGCCTGCACTGACTGTTCTTGATGTAAGCTGACTATAAATATAGGTTATTATTTGAAGACTCTGAAGCCAAACTTAGGTTTTAATAAGCAGAAAATCTTTCATACTGAGTTGATAAAATGCAAGAGCACGTAACAAATTATTATGTAGGCACAGCACTAAGAATGCAAGGTCAGAACACTGGGTTTCTAACTCTGACTCTGCCTTAATAACTGTGTGATCTCGGAACAGTTACCTTGTGCCTTAGTCTTCACATCCATCAACCAGGACTGATACTACCACCTATCTTTTTAAAATTATAGAATTAAATGAGTTAATGCATACAAGCAAAATCAATATTTAACAAGTGGTGACTCTGTTCATCTTTTTTATTGTATTATTTTAATCATTATTATTCTAGACAGTAAAGCAAGCAATAAGAATTGACTTTTTCTTTCTGTAAGTTACCTTCAATCTTACTGAGTTAAATTATTAGATTTAAAGGTTTGTGTTTTGGTTCAGGGACTCTTTAAAAAAAATTTTTGTTGGGAGTTGAGGGGGAGATACATTATATCCTGAAGCCCAGTAAAAACCATTTCAGGGTTATCTGCAAAAAAAAAGAAAACAGAAAAAGTTTTTTGTTGCCATGTTGTGGTAAATTGAAGATGAGTAAGTATATTTTAAAATCTACGGGTTTCTTGTATATTTTTCCTAACAACATGAAAACATGCCCAAATTCATGTGTGCAAAAGCAAGATCTAAATAGTTAAAATTTTAGGGAACTTTTTTATTTTCTTCATTTTTAAAATTACTGGATTGACTTACTCTAAGATTTTGTCTACCTTAAAAACAATGTGGTTCTGTGAGAACATGAGAGAAGTCGCTCTCTTTCTTCTCATATAATTGTTGTATATATTGACATAAATCATTCTAACCTCATCTCTTATTTGAAGTTGAAACCCCACTCAATGAGGTGACTTTTAAAAATTATTCCTATAACATTTAAAATTAATGACTTATCACTTTATGATTCCTGAACAGATGTTTGGTCAATCAGTTTTAAACTCCTTTACACACAGAACAAGTTACCAACTCATTGCCATTGAATTAGAAGAACAGAGGATTACTGGTGAATAATTTTGTGCAATGGCAAAGCTCATGTATTGTTAATTATAAGACCAAGAATATTGACTTTGCCCTTTAATAACTTTTAGATACATGATAACCAGCTGACATCCCTTCCTTCTGCAATAAGAGACCTAGAAAATCTCCAGAAACTTAATGTCAGGTAAAATTTAAGCTTTTTATTTCTAATGTTGTTATTATAATGGTTTCTAACATTAGAATATCTCTTTATTATCTCAGAAAGAGAGTTTTTTTTTTAGTTGGAGTCTTATTCTGTTGCCCAGGCTAGAGTGCGGTGGCATACTCATGGCCACCGCAGCCTCTACCTGCTGGGTTCAGGCAGTCCTTCTGCCTCCAAGTAGCTGGAACTACAGGCGCACACTACCACACCTGACTTGTATTTTGATTTATTAAGAGACGAAGTCTCACCAAGTTGCCCAGGCTAGTCTCGAACCCCTGAGCTCAGGCAGTCCTCTCGCTGTGGACTCCCAAAGTGCTGGGATTACAGGCTTGAGCCACCATGCCCAGCTCAGAAAGAGATTAAAGCAGCGTAAGAATTTTATTTTATTTTATTGAGTTGGGATCTCACTCTTTTGCCCAGGCTGGAGGACAATGGCATACTCTTGGCCACCACAGCTTCGACCTGCTGAACTCAGGCAATCCTTCTGCCTCAGCCTTCCAAGTAGATGGAACCACAGTTCATACCACTGTGCCTGGCTAATTTTTTAATCTATTTGTCATAGATACAAGGTCTGGCCAAGTTGCCCAGGCTAGTCTTGAACCCCTGGGCTCAGGAAATCCTCTCAGCTCTGCCTCCCAAACTGCTGGGGTTACAGATGTGAACTGCCAGCCTGGCTTAAATTTTGCTCTTAGATTATTTATTTGACTTTGTTTTTTGGTTTTAGCATTGCCTGCATGTTTTCCGGTCTTAAGGATTTGAGGGCAGTTGGTTTTCAAAAAAAAAATACTTTAAAGTATGAAACAATTTTTAGTGTTTGTTATTTTAGTAAACCTCTTTGATGATATCTCAGCTTTTAAGTTACCTTGATATTTCTAAAAAAAACTAGGTATTAAACAATAAGGAAGAAATGGAAAATGGTTATTTCATAAATGAAGAAAAATTTCTTGGTTTTGATTAGTAGTAGTTTTTAATCTTCTAAAGATTAAATTCTAGGGTTCCATGAACATATTTCTTGTACTATCATAGATAGGTGTAGCATATGGTAGATGGCTAAGGCTCTAACCAGGTTTGTTTGCCCTCCAGTACATTCCCAGATCTTTAAGAAAGAATAACTGTGTATATGTGTCGTATAGACAGAGATTATGGGAAAGGAAATTGAGGGGTTTTGGGTTTTTTTAGAAGGAACAATGTTTAAATACTTAAAGCATAGTTTGAAAAGCCGTGGTTTGGCCGGGCTCAGTGGCTCAGCCTGTAATCCCAGCACTTTGGGAGGCCAAGGTGAGTGGATTGCCTGAGCCCACACGTTCGAGACCTGCCAGAGCAACTTGGCGAGACCTCATCTCTACAATAAATAAATTTAAAAAAATTAGCCGGGCGTGGTAGCATGCGCCTGTAGTTCCAGCTACTTGGAAGGCTGAGGCAGAAGGATCGCTGGAGCCCAGCAGGTCGAGGCTGCAGTGGTTGGGAGCGGCCACTGCACTCCAGTCTGGGCAATAGAGTGAGACTCCAACTCAAAAAAATAAAAAAATAAAAAAAAACAAAAGCCGTGGTTTATACAATAAATATGGTTACAGGTCTGCCTAATATAATATGGTCAAGTCTGTTTTCTGGAGGTAAGTTAACTAATTTAAGGGGGAAAAGTCACTCAAATAATGAGTCTTCATTTGATGAATAATGAAAAATTACCATAAATCAGCAAAAATATCTACACATAAACAGGTGTTTATTATTTAAAACTGCATCAGCGCCTCTTCCCCTTACAAGTCTAAGACTAGATGCGGCCTACAAAGACATGAACAGGAAGAGTTGAGAAGAAAGAGTGGAAGTATGGAGTGGTGTGGCTTTAGCTCTAGATTCCAGTTATTTAAGAGTATGAACCTTAGAGTGGAGCAATTAGGTAAGAAAAGGAGATAGAGGAAATATATAGCTAGATATACACCTCTACCCAGCTAGATCCCTGTCAAATATGCAAAGATTTCAGTTAAGTAACTGACTTTAAACTCTTTTATTGGTTCTTATTTTAGAAGACATTTTTTTGGCCTCACCTAGTTTTATTTTAATGTAATGTAATGTTATTGTAAGGCCCTTATATTTTCCATTTTCTTCTTGTTATTTTTGAAGTAACTATGTAGTAAGAAAATAGAGCGTAATTCATAGGTATTTAGTTAAGTTGGAGTAAACCTGGGAACTACTTCAGTCATCTCTTAATTATCATCCTCAGTGATTTGGGATTTCCTCTACATCATTAAGCAAATATCTCTATAGAAAGGCCTAAGTGAGAAGACCAAGTATAAAGAAGAGTGGAATTGTATATTACGTTCAACCTGATATTCCAGGCTCTCAAACAGAGATAGCTATTTTTGCCTTGAATTCTAAATTTAAAACCTAATCTCCATATAAGATTGTAACTCCCCTGTGGTATGTTTGTGTGTACACATGGTTTTGTCAGAATTCTAAAAGTCAGATATGGCTAGGTGTGGTAGCTCATATCTATAATCCCAGCAGCAACAACAAACAATAAAAAACAAATAATAAAAGTAATATCAGTTTAAAAAAAAACTAGAATCCAGTATGTGCTTTCACATTACATGTAAAATCAAGAGTTGGTTATAAGCAAGCAATAAAAAATTCTCAAATTATTTATGTCTAGCTAAAAACCTTTATTTTTGTTGAAGTCCCTATTTGTTTACTTTAGATTTCTGTTGTTTTAATGAGCATGTACTTTTGGGATGTGAATTTTGTTAAGTACTTAAGATTATTAATCATATTTCAGTTTTTTTGAGTAGGAGTCTCACTCTGTTGCTTAGGCTGGAGTACAGTGGCACACTCATAGGCACCACAACCTTGACCTGCTGGCCTCAGACAATCCTGCCTCAGCCTTCCAAGTAGCTGGAACTACAGGCATGTGTCACCACACCCAGCTAATTTTTTAATTTATTGCAGAGACAGGTCTGGCCAAGTCGCTCAGGCTGGTCTCGAAACCCTGAGTTCAGGCAGTCCTCTCAACTCCGCCTCCCAAAGTACTGGGATTACAGATGTAAGCCACCTCGCCTGGCTATATTTCAGTGTTGTGATGAGTCCATGGAGTTGGTTAGCAAAAATGCCTTTGATAAATATTTATTGTGTTGTCACTAAGTTATTCAGCATTTATTTTACCAATAGCCATAACAAGCTGAAATTACTCCCAGAAGAAATTACAAACCTAAGAAACCTGAAGTTCCTATATCTCCAGCATAATGAACTGGCTTGCATATCGGAGGGATTTGAACAACTTGCCAATTTAGAAGATTTAGTAAGTTGTGGTTTTTAAATTTTTGTATCATTTAAGAGTGCTGAGATTTTCATCAACTGAGAAATGGGATGTGTGATTGAAATCATGGGAACATGGACAGCTGATTTTATGAGTAGATTATTGGAAATGTACATTTCGATTAGAGTGCTAAATTAATAATTATAAATTTATGTCTCCTATGTTATGAGATGAACTTTGAGTTTTAATTCAGGAATAAAGTTTGGGAAAGGTACAGTTAGGGTGGCTTTGTTATTCAGAGGCGTTTATAGCTTTGCAGAATAGAGGAAAGTTGTCTTTGGTATTTGCCAATTCTCTCTTTTTTTTTTTGAGTTGGAGTCTCACTCCGTCGCCCAGACTGGAGTGCAGTGGCCGCTCCCGGCCACCGCCTCAACCTGCCAGGCTCCGGCGATCCTTCCGCCTCAACCTTCCAAGTAGCCGGAATTACAGGCATGCGCTACCACACCCGGCTGATTTTTTGATTTATTGTGGAGATGAGGTCTCGAACCCGCGGGCTCAGGCAATCCACTCACCTCAGCCTCCCAAAGGCGCGGGATTACAGGCTGAGCCACCAAGCCTGGCACCGATTCTCTTTTCTATACCTATTCCCATTTCCTTCTTAATGTTACCCGTGGCCCTCTTGCTCTCTGCATGTTGAGGCGATCCTGGGAAGGCCTGCCTTTTCTTTCTTCTTTTTCAAAGTGGCCGTCATTTCTTGGCAACGTGTTTTTCATGGAAACCTCTTTTATTTATATAGAATTATAAACTACAAGCAATTATTTTGCCCAATCCTTTTAAATACCACCTGAGTCAGACAGGCTAGAGGATATTAGCTCAGTTTTATAAGCAAGACTGTTAACACTGTTCCCATATTTAGTATAAGACATAGCTGGGATATAAACCTTGGACTCTCATATTTAAAACTGCTTTCTTTCCATGACTTTGTGATACATTATTTTAAAGAAATCTGATTTCACAATGCTTCACAGCATAAAAGTAACATCTAAAATATCTATTTCTGGCAGGTTAACCCTGAAGCCAACCAATCTAATTAATTACCTTATAACCTGGCACATTTTAAGGCACTGTTAATACAACATGTCTAACTCAATTTCATAACTATGTTTGAGGACTCCAAGAGCCAAAATTGCAGCAAAGCTGACCTCAAAGGACCAGGGAATATAATGGCCAAGCATGTTTTCAAGTTTGATCTGGGACATCCTTAGCAATTGCTCAGATGGCAAGCGGCGGCAACTAAGGGAAGAAAGTAGAGGGAATACCCACTTAGAGGTGGACACTGATAAAAATCATAGGCAGTACCAGATGCACCCAGTTGCTGGTATACTACAGCATTACCAGCAGGACAAATGGCGGTAGTTCTGGAGTCCAGAATATGCAAGGAAAAGGTCTGTTAAGCCCTGGCAAAATGTTTATTCCATCTGTTTCACTTACCTTAAGTAGAGATCACAAAGCAATACAAATATTATTTTAATCATATTACTAAGAATAGTAAAAACAGTAGACACTTTGGTTTGTGCTTTGGAGGTAGTTTTATTTCCTGATACATTAAGAAACCAAGGCTTATCTTTAAAAAACCTGTAAAAGGTAATGAAGTCAGGATTTGAACATAAGTCAATTTGACTCCAAAGTGCATTCCTTTTTTTCTACCGTACCACTAAAGGAATTAGATTCCATGGCAAGCTATATAATCTGAAAGACTTTAGCTATGTTAATTCAGTGGTATTAATATATACTACCTAATCCACATAGTTAATTTATATTACATCCTTGTTCTTTTCCCCTTTTCATCTTCTATAAAACTCATTTCATTGTAGCTTTATATTTTATTTTTCTTTTTTTACTCTTAATTTATTTAAATTATTTAAATAATTCTCATTCTTTGTTTTAAATTATGATAGTCAGCCATCTCCTGAGGATAAGGGAACAATATTTTTTTCTGTTGTAGTAAGACTTTTCTTTTTTTAATTTAATTTTATTTTAAAGATGTGGTTACACTTCAGGATTAGGTAGATAAGTGGCCATAATATAGTGAAAGTTTGGGCCTCCCTTTGGTCCCCACTTCTCCTGGTTTGAGATCGGGTACCCTTATTGATGTTATGTGCCACCAACTACCCCCCGGCACCCAGCAGTGTCCTGCTGCTGCCAATCCCTTTCTTTTCTTTTTTTTTTTTTTTAAGTTGGAGTCTCACTGTCACCTGGCAGTGTCCCACTACTGCCAATCCCTTTCTTTTTTTTTTTTTAGTTGAAGTCTCACTGTCACCCAGGCTGGAGTGCAGTGGCCACTGCAGCTCCCTCTCAGCCTTCCAAATAACCGAAACTACATGCGCATGCTACCATGCCCGGCTAATTTTTTGATTAATTGTAGAGGTGAGGTCTCGCCAACTTCCCTGGGCTAGTCTCCAACTCCCAGGCTCAGGTGATCCACTGGCCTTGGCCTCCCAGAGTTATAGGATTAAAGACTGAGCCACCGAGCCTGGCCCAATCCCTTTCTTATAGTATTATGATTAATGTTTGAGGTTCACTTATGAGTGAGAACATGTGGTACTCGGTTTTAAATTTTATTTTTCACTAATGAAAAAATTACTCCTTTGATGTTTATTTGTTTTGTATGTACATCCTCGATATTTCCCTCATCTGCCCTAGTGTTTTTTTGTTTTGTTTTGTTTTTCTTGAGTAAGGGTCTCACTCTGTCACCTAGGCTGCAGTGCAGTGGCATGGGCATGATCATTGCTTTCTGCAGCCTTGACTTTCTAGGCTCAAGCCATCCTTCTGCCTCTGCCTTCCGAGTAGTTGGGACTATAGATGTGTACTATCATGCCCAGATAAATTTTTTTTAATGTTTAGAAAGAGAAGATCTCACTATGTTACTTCACTGTGAACTCCTGGGCTCAAGAAATCCTCCTGCCTTGGCCTACCAAAGTGCTGGGATTACAGGCATGAGCCTCCAGGCTTGATCTGCTCTAGTGTTTAAAATGAAAATGTAGACTCTTCTCAACCACTCCTTCAATGTCTCATTCCCTGATTTGCTCTATTGTTTAAAATAAAAATATAACACTTCTCAACCATTTCTTCAGTTTCTTTTTGTCTTTCAATATGATTTCCAGATTGGAAATAAGGGTTGGAAAGTAAAAGGCATAGGTAAACAAAGTATATGGCAGAGAAGGGAACCATCAGATTTTCTTATAAAAATTAATGGTAAAAGACAGCAATTGATTTAAAAAAAAAAAAAAAAGAGTCCTTTTAGAGTTGAAAGCCGAAAGAAAACCTTATAATCAACAAAGTTTCCAATGTCCCTCCATGAGTTCCCAAAGATTAATTTGCATAATGAAAGGATAGTTCATTTGAGAATTGTGTTCTAAGGACTCAGTCTCAAGAAAATCATAAATGTGAGCAACAATATATTAAAATAGATTAAAAGTATAAACACCTGTAATCATTTAAACTAGTAATATTTCTTTTTTTTTTTTTTAAGTTGCAGTCTCACTCTGTTGCCCAGGCTAGAGTGCAGTAGCATGCTCATGGCCACTGCAGCCTTGACCTGCTGGGCTCAGGTGATCCTTCTGCCTCAGCCTTGCAAATAGTTGGAATCACAGGTGTGCACCACCACACCCAGCTAATTTTTTGACTTATTAGAGATGAAGTCTCACCAAGTTTGCCCAGACTGGTTTTGAACCCCTGGACTAAGGCAGTCTTTTTACCTCAGCCTCCCAAAGTGCTGGAGTGAGCCTCTGCACCCAGCTGTAACATTTCTTAAAGGTATATAATACCTGCTTAGCAAAATAGTACTAAATAAATGAAAGGGTATATGAGGCGAGGTGGACCAGTGTGGGTGCCAATATCACACAGGAATAATGCAAGAATGGAACAAGGAAGAGAGTAGAAGGAAGCACAGTTTGTTATTCACCTTTCACAGATTGGAAATGGGGCCGACACTCAGAGGCAAGTGTGACACTGAAGGGTCAAGAACTGGGTATATTTAAGTGCCTTTGGAGTAAGGGGGTTTAGGCCCTGAGGAATGTCCAGGGCTGGGGCGGGTCTTTGGTGTTGATTGTAGCCACTTGAGTCTTAGATCTTGACTTGACCAGACATTAGCATCTCATGCCCTCAGGTGGTGGGCTAGATGGGAGGAGACAAGGGGAGGGGGATTTCCCGCCAGAGACTTGTCAGAGGTTTGCAGTCCACAAACTCCTTGCCCAAAAGATGGTCTTATTATCTTTCTGTGGCTTTGGCAGGCCAAGGGGTGATCTTTGATTTCTGCCTTGGCAGGGAACCTGAAAGTTTCCTAGAGATTATTATGCTAAACCATGAATTGAAAGGTTGGGCTGTTGGGCTGTCCTGGTCTTGCATCTGATGAAGATTTGCTGAGGGGGTGGGGTAGGCTGCCTCTTGATCTGCAGTAGAATATCTGGACACTTCCTAAAACTTGCCTTTTGGAAATTTATCTAGGTCTAACCTGTGCTAGATTCAAAGCATGTCAGTGGTAAAGTCTAAGCAAAAATGGCTATACCGAGACAAAAAGACCGCTAAACTAAGTTTATTCTAGGTCTCTATAGGTACCTCCTTTCAAAAAATGTTTGCTAAAAGAATGACTTGGCATAAATTTGGGTTAATTTACATATACTATGTTTTATATCTAAATTATTAACTGTGGTATTTAAATATTTAATTTTATCAGTAATTCTATTGTTTAGAATTTAGAGTAGAGTTTATTAGAATTATTTGGGTTTTTAAAAATGCTTTGAGAATTTCTGAATTAATATCTGTTAATAATTGTTTTAAGCTTTTCATTCGAGAATAATTTTAGATTTTTAGAAAAGTTGTAAATATAATAAAAAGTTCTTATATACCTTTTACCTAGCTTCCCATAATGTTAACACTTTATATAACCACAGGACATTTGTAAAAACTCAGGAATTTATATTGGTGCAATACTATTTAAAGTACAGATTTTATTTAGATTTCCCCAATTGTTCTACTAATTTCCTTTTACTGGTTTAGGATTCAGTACAGAATACCACATTTCATTTAGTGCCAGTAATTTTTGGTGCTACAAAATATTTATTAGCAGTCTCCTTATTTTTCTAGTTTTTAAATATTGGAGCTATAGATTATGCTATGTTATATATTATGATAATATTATGTTATAATAATCCTAACAGAATTTTTTAAAAAAATGATCTGGGCCTGGCACGGTGGCTCAGCCTGTAATCCCAGCACTTTGGGAGGCTGAGGCGAGAGGATTGCCTGAGCCCGGGAGTTCAAGAACAGCTCGGGCAACTTGGTGAGAACTGGTCTCTGCAATCAATCACAAAAAAACAAGCTGGGCATGGTAGATTGTGTCTGTAGTTCTAGCTATTTGGAAGGCTGAGGTGGAAGGATTGCCTAAGTCCAACAGATCGAAGCTGTGGTGGCCGTGAGCATGCCACTGCATTCCCGCCTGGGTAACAAGAGTAAGACTCCAACTCAAGAAAAAAAAGATCTGGTCCAGCATTTTTACCTTTTTCTATCTTCTCAATAAGTTCGGAGTTACAAAATGCAGTTGATTAATGTTAGACTAATGAAAGTCTTCAGAGAATTGTTCCTTTAAGTTTTTTTTAAAAATTAATTGTTGCCATTGACCCTACTTTCCTTTATACTTTGCACTTTATACCTAATTTGGGTGTTACAAAAATAACCTGATTCATAACAATGTCTTTTAAGGAGGGTTCCAAAAATTAGTTCTCTTGTAACTGTTTAAATTAAAAACAGGAACATAATGATTTAAGAAACATTGAAGGCCCAGCAGTGGCTAATGCCTGTAATCCCACCACTTTGGGAGGATTGCTTGAGCCCAGGAGTTCGAGACCAGCCTAGGCAACATAGTGAGACCTTGTCTCTAGCACACAAAAAAATTTTTTTTTTGAGTTGGAGTCTCACTCCGTCGCCCAGACTGGAGTGCAGTGGCCACTGCCATGCCCGGCTGATTTTTTTTATTTATTGTAGACATGAGGTCTAGCCAAGTTTCCCGGTGGGTCTCCAACCCACGGACTCAGGCAATCCACTCACCTCGGCCACCCAAAGTGCTGGGATTACAGGCAGAGTCACCAAGCCCGGCCACAAAAATTTAAAAATTAGCAGGATGTAGTGGCATTTGCCTGTAGTCCTGGCATCTCTGGAGGCTGATACAGAAAGATTACAAGAGCCCAGGAGATTGAGGCTTCAGTGAGCCATGATCCTGCGCTTGCACTCCAGCCTAGGCAACAGAGTGAGACCTTGACTTGAAAAAAAGAAGAGAAAAGAAACATTGAGGTGGAGATTAATTAACCAAGCTGGAGTGAGTGAATAGTAGAGAATAGATTCCTGGTTTTAGTCAAAGCAGACTTGCTGGGGTCAGCAGAAGAATCAAAAGAAAATGTTTTTTTTTTCGTTAAAAGTTTAAATAGCCATTTTCTCACACTTTAATTTTCTTTCTTTCAGGAATTTTTCTTTACTGCAAAGATGTTTTTCACTTCATATTGCAGTTTACCAATAATGTGCTAATTCATCATGGTTAATAAATATTGGATGATGAAATGAATTTATGCATTGAAAACATGATGCAAGATATAACATGACTTAATTTTAACAGAATCCTTTATGGAAAGTATTTTTGAAGTCAGAATTCATTCTAATTCCTATCAACTACCAATGATGGACACATAGTGAGCCTGCAGATGTTGAAAAAGAATATTGAAATGAAGACTGATCTGTGAAATTGTCAGTGAATGAGGGTCACAAAATTTATCACCTGATGTTGTCTCTTTTATGTTGCAGTTCCTGCAAAATTTTGAAATCCTCTTTAGGACTCATTTATTAATTTTTTAAAATTTACTTGTTTTTTGCATTCATTTTATCTTTCTCTTTTTAAAGGATCTGTCAAACAACCGTCTTACAACTGTTCCTGCTAGTTTTTCTTCTCTATCCGGTTTGGTGCGACTCAATCTTTCCAGTAACCAGCTGAAGAGTTTGCCAACAGAAATAAGTAAAATGAAAAGTAAATCTTTTCTATTTTCAAAAATACATAAATTTGAAGTCGGTGCAACTTGTGTTTAAAACCATAATTTTCAATATAGTTTTAGAGAAGTAAAGTAATACATTTTTTATGGAGGTAAATGTAAATAGTAGCAGCTGCTGTTAGATTTTCTCCAACCATTACTGTCTAGCAACTGCCTAAAGAGTTACTATCATAAAGATACTTAGGCATATCAAAAAGGGGGAAAGAAAGTGTTATTATCAATCATGGTAGGATTGTATACCTGAGAAACTGATTAAAGTTTTGAGCTGTACTATCTCTTGATTCATTAATTCAGTATTTATGAAGAGATTATTCCCCTCTAACAGGTGAATTCACCTGTGGTAATGAGGTTCTGTGTTAGCTGTAGTCTCCTGGCGATTGTGAGTAATAGTATTAAGATTCTCAGTCTTTTTTTAAAAAAACAAAATGTCAAAATTCAGTGGTTCTATTGGTTTTCCATTGAGCCATTAAAGTATTGTAGAACTAGTATTAAAAGATAAATAAACAGAGTACATTTTAGTGCCTTTTAAATAAGTATACTTCATCATCTTAGAATTCTCAGAGTCTAAAATCATCCCATTGATTTAGAAGCAGACTTTTATTTCTTTGATGGCTGCACTGTGTGTCTCTTACAGACTATTTACCTTCTCTAGTCCTTTTTTTTTTTTTTTTGCTAATTATTTATAAGCCTTCTTTCATTTTTTAAACCTCCCCTTTGTGGAGGAAGTAATAGAAATAGTTTCCTACAGTTGATTACAGATAATTTTGACGTGAATTAGTAAAATTGTGCTGTTTTACCTTAGATTTATAGTTATTTGTCACTTAAAATAAAAGTTTTAAAATCAATTAAATCTGCCATAAATCAAATTGACATTTTGGGGAAAACTTTTCCTGGGATACCAGTAGTTAAGATATTTCTTGTCTTCGCCATTTTTCAATTAGGGTATTATCAGGAAGAGCTAAACATAAAATTTGATATCTGGAATGGAGATACAAGAAACATGGTTTTTTCTTCACAAATTGAGCTGCAGTATCTTGAGAGATACGAACATATGGAGATATCCATAGAAAAATACTTTTGAGTTTATGGTAGTTTCTCTAACATTTTGTATAATTAAGGATCAGATGCTTTCTGTTTCTCATCCATGACAGGAGGACATTTAGTTATTATTTCACTATTAATAAATAGGTGAGGCCAGGCTCGGTGGCTCAGCCTGTGATCCCAGCGCTCTGGGAGGCCGAGTTGAGTGGATTGCCTGAGCCCGCAGGTTTGAGACCCATCTGGGCAACTCGGTGAGACCTCATCTCTACAATAAATCAAAAATTAGCCTGGCGTGGTAGCGCACGCCTGTAGTTCCAGCTACTTGGAAGGCTGAGGCGGAAGGATTACTGGAGCCCAGCAGGTCGAGGCTGCGGTGGCCGGGAGCAGCCACTGCACTCCAGTCTGGGTGACAGAGTAAGACTCCAACTCAAAAATATACATAAATAAATAGAAATAAAAAATGTAAATAGGTGTCAGAATTTTACATTTGTATGGTCGTGTGTACTCAAAATGCCTTTGTGTATATCATTTTTCCATCACAACTGTTCTGTAAAGTAGATGAGATGCCTGTTTTTTATATTTTAGAGGTTCATGAATGTAGGCTTAGAATTTATATTATTAATTATAGATCCAGGGCTTCAATCCTTCCTCCAACTCTATTGTTCTTTCCACTGCATACTGTTTATGTCAATGCTCTTAGATGCAAACATTTGTGAAAATGTAGGCTCTAACTTTAAAACATATTTTTCCTCACAGGATTCACTAGTTTCAGGGTGGACCAGATTGTGACTTCTTTTCTTGATGTCCTAAAATAATATATAAATTATGATATTATTTGTTGACGGTAGTACTTCTGCATTTGTTTTGAGAAGCAGTTAGCTTCTTCAACTCCTAAAGGAAAAACAGTCTAAGGCATTAGTATATCAACTCAATCTTGAATTAGGTTAAAATTAACAGGCTCAGAGTACAACAAAATAAATTGTAAAATGCATATTGGCTGTTCAAATTAGAGGGTTGAGAGTGAGTTTTTGGGCTGGGCTTGGTGGCTCAGCCTTGGGAGGCCAAGGCGAGTGGGTTGCCTGAGCCTGCGGGTTCGAGACATCCCGGACATCTTGGTGAGACAATAAATCAAAAATGAGCCGGGCGTGGTACTACATGCCTATAGTTCCAGTTACTTGAAAGGCTGAGGCAGAAGGATCGCCTGAGCCCAGGAGGTCCACGCTGGGGTGACTGTGAGCATGCCACTGCTCTCTAGCCTGGGCGTCGAAGTGACTCCAACTCAAAAAAAAAAAAAGAATGAGTTTTTGGAGAATATATGGTGGCCGTGATAAGAGGTTTATAATTATGGATTAGGGATCCCCTTATTTAAACCCCCTTATTGAAATCTTAAGAGAAGTCCTTTATTTTTTTCATTTTGTTTTCTGTTCTGCTTTTTAAGAAAGAATGAACAAGGAGAGAAAAAAGAGATGCTGCAAGTAAAGACAGTCTTCTTGAGCTGTAGTATACTTTCTTATTGGGAGTGTAGCTGAAATGTTAGGAAAAACATGCAATTTAAATAAAATTAAAAAGAAGAAAGAAAGGAAAGAAGATAGGAAGAAAGAGAGGGAGGCAGGGTGGATGATGGAAGAATGGGAAGGAATACATAGTAAACCAAAGCTTTTGATGAAAAGTCAATTTGCCTAAAAATACAGATGTGTCTAAGCCACTATTAACAGAAATCCATTCATGCAGCAAGTATGCATGCTTGTGTATGTATTTAATTATGTTAAGCCTTTTTTCTAAGATACATAATAATTGAGGGAAATAATAATGTACATTTTAATTTTAGAGTAACAAAGTACTAGAGAACTTTTTAAAATCGATTACAAAAATGACCTGGACTATTATTAAATCATAATTTTAATATTATTATTTCTCTTTAATTATAATTGAATGTAGTATTAAATTTACATTTATTTAGTTCGTTGGTACTTGAGTATCTTTGAATTTTTTTTTTTTTTTTTTGAGTTGCAATCTCACTTATGCCACCCAGGTTGGAGTGGGCTCAGGTGGTGCTTCCTCTTCAGCCTTACAAATGGCTGGAATTACTGGCACATGCTACCACACCCAGCTAATTTTTTTAAAAAGTTTATTGTAGAGATTAGGTCTCACCAAGTTGCCCAGTCTGGTCTCGAACCTGTGGGCACAGGCAGTCTTCTACCCTCGGCCTCCCAAAGTGCTGGGATTATAAGCATGAGCCGCTGTGCCCGACCAGTATCCTTGATCATTAAAGTGATATACAATGGTACAGGTTCATAAATTCTCATGGTGATTTTTTTTTATATATTCTTTGAAGTTGTATACAGTCCGCAACTAATATTTTTTCTCTTTGAAAGTATTTTTGCTTTTCGTGGAATATGTATTACAGGATTAAAGCATTTGGATTGTAATGCAAATCTGTTGGAAACTATACCTCCTGAATTGACTGGCATGGAATCACTAGAACTGCTTTATTTACGGAGGAATAAGTTACATTTTCTACCAGAATTTTCTTCTTGTAGATTATTGAAGGTATTATTCAGTTGATTAATATATAACTGTATATTTTTAAAAAGTTAATTATGAAAATTATTTTTTTAAAAGGAGTTCATCTTTTTTGACATTGAGAATGCGTATTAGTATTTTTCCTATGTTCTTGTTTTTTGAAATTTCAGTATGACTACTGACATTAATGAATTTTTATTAATACATTTTTTAAATAATTTAAAAAATAGAGATCTCTTCCTCTCATTTGGTGAGTAGTTTATAGTTTGAGAATTAGCAGATAATGAAGTTATAATGGTAAGTTGGGACCATACTGTCAGATACCTGGAATACTAGTGAGGAATATGTACCTAATTCTGTAAGTCACCACCTTTCATATGCACCTGATCTTAATCAGGTTTGTTTAAAATTAGTTACTTTCTTAGTATTGTCTTCTAAATTTGCCATACTTTCTTTGCTTTCCTTTATGTATACCTTTATGCATCAGTGTGAAAAGAGTTTCTTTTAAGGTCAGTTGCAGTGCCTCAAGTCTGTAATCCCAGCGCTTTGGGAGGCCTGAGTCCAGGGGTTCAAGACCAGCCTGGTCAACGTGGTGAGACTTTGTCTCTATACTAAATCAAAAAGTTAGCTGGGCGTGGTGGCACATGCCTGTAGTTCCAGCTACTTGGAAGGCTGAGGCGTAAGGATCGTCTGAACCTGAGGCAGCGGTGGCTGTGAGCATGCCACTGGACTCCAACCTAGGCGATAGAGTGAGACTCTGACAAAAAAAAAGAGAAGAGTTTCTTTTAAACAGATTGGTGACAGTGATGATAAGAACTGGAAAGGTTTTTGTTTAATAAGATTAATTTTCCACCTGATAATTGTAGAGTCTATTAATGGGAAATCAGTATATATAATAGTCACTAATGAAAATGTTAAATATCAAACTGATTACACTTGGTCCTTGAACAGCACTGGGGTTATAGGCACGAAACCCCATGCGATTGAAAATTTATATGTAATTTTTGACTCCCCAAAACATAACTACTAGTAGTCTACTATTGACCAGAAGCCTTACTAGTAACATAAACAGTTGAGTAAATATTTTGTATGTTATATGTATTATAACACTGTATTCTTACAATAAACTAAGCTATAGAAGAATGTTATTTGAAAAAATCATAAGGAAGAGAAAATATATTTACAGTACTATACTGTATTTATTGATACCATAAGTTTATTTCATCTGTTTATAAAATGAATTGGCTGTCTGTCATGGTGGGCAACTCAATCTACCATACGTATCAAACAGTTCACTCTTGTCTGATAATGTCATGACTTTTCTCTACTTTTTGGAGTACATCCAATATCACTAGTGGCACTTTGTATGAGTCCCATGACGTTTTCCAAGGTTTATATTATTGCTGTAAACTTTTCTAAAAAAAAATGCATGAGAACTGCAAGAAATTACTTTTTACTGTGATAAGCAATATGGCTAGGGCGATAAACAGCTCAGGTGTAGGTAATTAGCATTATACAGAATTTTAAGTGGATCCTCACAACACAAGCTCACTGCAATCAACAGAAGATGGCAGCAAAATGATTGCAGTAGTACAGTATGTACTGTAGTTAATCTTATGCATTTGTGATTTAATACTGCATCTTTATTTTGTTTATATTTCTCTATCACTGAGAGTGGAACCATGTGTGATCTGTCAGTGTGTGTGTAAGTTTTGATAAATTTTAACTTTTTACAATAGATTTGTGTATATTTTATGGTAGTAAATGATAAACTAGTATCTACACATATATTCATTTATAGCATACCTTTTATTTAATTTTTAAAAAATAATTCTAGGTTACACAGTTTGTCAGGTTTTTTCAAATTGTTGCAAATCTTCAAAAGTTTTTGTTTTGTTTTGTTTTGTTTTTTGAGTTAGAATCTCACTCCATCTCCCAGGCTGGAGTGCAGTGGCACGCTCATGACCACCCCAGTGTCGAACTGCTGGGCTCAGACAATCCTTCCACCTCAGCCTTCCAAGTAACTGAAACTACAGATGCGTACTACCATACCTGGCTAATTTTTTTATTTATTGTAGAGATGAGATCTTGCCAAATTGCCCAGGCTGGTCTCGAACCCGTGGGCTCAGGCAATCCTCTCACCTTGGCTTCCCAAAATGCTGAGATTACAGGCTTGAGCCACCGTGCCCGGCCTTCCAATAATTTTTGATATGTTTATTGAAAAAAATGTGTATGTAAGTGGCCTTGCACAGTTCAAACCATGTTGTTCAAGGGTCAACTATATAAATAACTTTTTTGAACTGATACGATTTTGTTTTAAAGCTAACTTTTCCTCAGTATAGTTTTGGGATTTGTGTTTTTATTTATTCTACATGTACTAAATCATTTATCTGTTCTGGTTTTGTAAACCTGATATTTCTGCCAGATTCAACCTTTAATTATTTTTAAATTGCCAGAAGATTCTTGAAAATGTTCTCATGCCATTTTTTTCTTTAGCTGTAAAGATAGCTTAAATGTAATGGAAACTTTAAACACTTTGATCTGAAAATTGTGTTTTTTCTATTTTTTAAACTAACTTAAAATTAAGAGTACCCACAATTTATTTTCATTGTCTAGTATAAAATTGAATACAGAAATATACATAACTGATCTTTGGTTTTGTAGGAATTACATCTAGGTGAAAACCAGATTGAAATGTTAGGGGCAGAACATCTTACACATCTAAATTCGATCCTTGTGCTAGACCTGAGGGATAACAAGTTAAAATCTGTTCCAGATGAAATTGTACTGCTACAGTCTTTGGAAAGACTTGACCTAAGCAACAATGATATTAGTAGGTAAGTTTAAAGATGGCATAAATAGAAATTATGTTTGTGTTTGCTTATAACTTATAAGTTGAAATATTTGTCAAAAGCATGAGATCCTTTTTTTTAAAAAAGAAAATTAATTTACTAAATATTGATTGAGCAGGGATTATGTACAGATTAATTAGATCTTGTCCTTGACAGCTAGCTTGATATAGCGATAGAAGATATATTTACAAGTTACTGTAACCCACTATAAATTCTAGGAGGCTGGATTTTTGTCTTTTTTGTTTACTGCTGTATCTCAACTCCTAGACCAGTGCCTCAATACATGGAAGGTGCCTGATAAATACTTGTTGACTCTATTAAATGAATGTAAAGCCTTATCGAGATATAAAATGCTTTGGAGTCATGAAGGATTTATAGGAATGACAGTTTATTGAGAGGAATCAGGGCAAACTTTATAGACTTAGTAATTGTTTTTACATGATCTTCAGGCCTGGAACTAGAATGAGATAGGTTAATTGCTGAGAGCTTAAAACTTAAGAACTCATTTACTTTCAGGGTCATGGTTTGGACTAGTCTCACTATGATGACTAGAATTTTCAAGTGTGAAGTGGTGAGAATGATTCTTTTGGCAGGAGGAAGCAGCACAAACCTTTGGCAATTCTAAGTAAAGTGCAGGGAAGGAGATTGTGAGAAGATAAGACTTAAAAAGTAAGTTAAGGCCATGTGAAAGAGACCCCTGAATGGCTATGAAGAGTCACTTTTCATTAGTTAGAAGTAGGAAGCTATTGAACGATTATGAACAGAACCAATTTGATTGTAATCTCAATTTAAAAAATAAGGTTGGTGGTAGTAGGTTGGATACTTGGATTAGGAGTGGTGTTGTAGGTGGGGAATCTAAATAAAACTCTATTAGATTAATCCAATAATATTTGTATCTATGGGACACTTGCTACATCCAGTTCACTTTATTCACAGGTGTATAGATTTCTCTCATGTAATGAGGGCCTGAACTGTGGCAGCATGGGAATGGAAAGATGAGGACAGATGTGAGAGGTGTCATGAGTTGGAATAAGTAGAATTTAGCAACTTTGTTGGAGATAGGAAGAGAGCAGTAAGCAAAGAATCATAAAAAGTTATAGCACCATAATATAAAGAGATAGCATTATTTTATATATACAAAAAAATAAGACTTACCTAAGGTTATAAACCATTTACATGTCAGAGGTGTTGAACAGCTTGGAGGCTAGAAAGATGGGGTGGTATTCACAGAAGGAAAAAAGTTAAGCAAGGCAGATTTTGTTCAGTGTGTGTATTCTTTTGGGGTTTTTTTGAGTTGGAGTCTCACTCTGTTGCCTAGGTTGGAGTGCAGTGGCATGCTGCTCATGGCCACTGCAGCCTTGACCCGCAGCCTTGCAAGTAGCTGGAACTACAGGGATGCACAACCACTCCTGGCTAATTTTTTGATTTATTGTAGAAATGAGGTCTTGCCAAATTGCCCAGGCTGGCCTCAGACCTGTGAACTTAGGCGATCCTCCCACCTCAGTCTCCCAAAATGCTAGAATTGTAGACATGAGCCACCATGCCCGGCCAGCCGGTGTGTATATTCTAATAAATATTTTTAAAAATCAGAATTGTTTTCATAAGGTACATATGGCATATGGTACATCTTGACCATAGATCTGAATGCTTGGATAGCGACCATTCACTATCCAAGCTTTTTACTCATATATATTAAATTAATAAGTTACCTGAATATCCCTTGAAGAACTTTAGCTTGCAAAATTTAACCCCAAATTAAATAATTAGTAAAAGCATTTGGTATATATATGTTCCTCTTTCTCCAGAGCTATGGGTATAAAGTGCCTAAAACATAATGATATTTAGTAAATATTTATTTTGTTAATTTTCCCTAACCCTATACTTCTGAGATACTAGACAATTTTAGACATTTTGCAGCCCTTCAGAATCCAATGATTTCCGACACTGCTACTAGAGTAGTTTTTATAAAATACGAATTATCAAGCCATCATTCTGTTTAAAGAACTATGGTGGTTCTTCATTGCCATAGCACTGTTTCCCAAATATGACTATGTATCAGAATCATATCAGAAACATTAAGAAAAAAAAAGATTCCGAGGCACCAATGAATCATAATCTTTGACAGTGGGACCCTAGAATTTTTTTTTTTTTTAAATAATTCCTTTTAATAGTTCTCCGAAAAGACATTATTTTAAAAAAAGCAATTCTTTAGAGATTTTGATGCTTCTGTCCCTCCAACTAGCAATTGGAAACCACTGTGTCTTGTAAAAAGACAAACTCTAGACTTTTTAGCCTAACATTCAAGGGTGTCTCACAGTCAGATTGTTCATTCTTTGTCATTCTTCCCTCTTACAGGTGTCTTGGTCTCTGACTACACTGAACTATAATCCTACCAACCCTTTCTTCATTTGGCTCCTTTACCTTAGAATGCTCTTTTCTTGCCTCACTGCCTCATAGAATCTCATTCTTTTTAAGTTCAAAGCCAGGTTTTGCTACCGCCTATTCCCCATAACACCCTGCCAATTTCTATATCTCTACTCTCACAGCAACTGTATTTGTTTAGCATTTGTCTTGTTATGACTTTTGTATCATATTCATTTGCTAATGTGTAACACATACAGTACAATTTACCAATTCAAGCATATATAGATATATATATATATTTGTATAACCATAGTCACAGTCATGTAGAACATTTCTGTCTCCCAAAAAGTTTTCTATAAAAATTTAATTGCCCAACACAGTGGCTTACGACTGTAATTCCAGCCCTTTGGGAGGTGAATTGCCTGAGCTCACGGGTTCGAGACCAGCCTGGGCAACATGACGAGACCTCGTCTCTACAATAAATCAAAAAAATGTTAGCTGGACATGGTAGCGTGTACCTGTAGTTCCATCTACTTGGAAGGCTGAGGCAGAAAGATCACCTGAACTCAGCAGGTAGAGGCTGTGGTGACTGTGAGTGTGCTACTGCACTCCAGCCTAGGCGAAAGAGTGAGATGCCAACTCAAATTTTTTTTAAAAATAATTTATTTTTAGAGACAGTGTCTTACTTTGTCACCCAGGCTGAAGTTCAGTGGCCCTATTATAGTTCACTGAAACCTCAGACTCCTGGGCTCAAGCCATCTTCCAACTTTCAGCCATATGAATGAATCACAAAAAACTTTATGTTCCATGGAAGAAGCGAGACACAAAAGATGTCTACTGTGTGATTCCATTTATGTGACATCTTTAAAAAGACAAAAGTACAGTACCAGAGTACTTCAGTGGTTACTAAGGGCTGGGGTGTATAAGTCTGTTTTTTTCTGATTTTTTAATTTTTATTTTTGGGTAGAGACAGGTGCCCTCCTTGTTACTCATGCTGATGTCGGACTCCTGGCCTCGTGTTTCTCACACCTCAGTCTCCCAAAGCACTGAGATTACAGGTGTGAGCCACCATACCCAGCTCAAACTTATTAATATGTTTTTGACATTTACTTTTTGGCACTGGATACAATTTAGCAAATGTTTTTTAGCTCACGTTATTTTTTAGCAATCTCAGTATGATACTTTTGAAAACAAATTCAGTTTCTCTTTTACATGTTTAGCATCTATCTTGAAGGGAGCTGTTTTAGGCCTACATTATTTGACCCTTCTTTAAGATTGTTATATGATATATTGTTTGTCATATGTTGTTTTATAGTCAACTTTTTGTTGGATTATACTTATATTTAATGTTGTTCCTGAAATCAATTTAATCTTTTGTAGTCTGCCCTATTCACTGGGAAATCTTCCTTTGAAATTCCTAGCGCTAGAGGGAAATCCTTTGAGAACCATTCGAAGAGAAATTATAAATGTAAGTATATCTGTAATTCAGATCCTTATTTTAAAATTGAAATTTGGACACACATGTTGATCTATAAAAATACAGGGTGTGTCTTAGTGATTATCTTTGTGTCCACCCTTTTTAGAAAGGAACCCAAGAAGTCCTAAAGTATCTACGAAGCAAGATCAAAGGTACGTTTTCATTTTCTCTTATATTTTGGAGAATTCATGAAGAATGGTAAGGTATTAATAGTACATAAATTTAGATCTATTTTAGATATGAATATTTGGAAGAATAGTCCCTGGTAGATGTGACTCTAATTCTCCATACAGGCTGTAAGTATGCTGAGGTTATAAGAAACATCTTTAAATTCAAAATGATAGTGTTCTAACTGTAATCTCTTTGAATTGCTTAAAATTTGCCAATTTGCAAATATCGTAAAAAAGTGTCAGTAAGCACTTAGTACTTTAGTTTTGAAAAGGGAGTAAAACTTGACTTTCCAAATATAATATATGAACTGGTAAGTTTATCAAAAAATATTTTGAAGCCGGGCTCGGTGGCTCAGCCTGTAATCCTGCACCTTTGGGAGGCTGAGGTG